ACGGTCCATATCGGAAAACGACAAAACTTTATGACGTCACTGTGACGTCATCTTAAGTGCTATAACCACCAAACTATTCTCAAACATTGCCTAGGTATTCATTTGAAGCTATGCCAAGTTTCACGTTCGTAGCTCATCAGGTCTCGGAGATATTCCACCGAACGTAAAGGGGGGGGGGCAACTTTATGCCCCCCCCAGCGGCTCGTGGGTTAACACATCCTTCGTGCTACTGAGAGGTCAATATAAAAACTAAGAGAAAGTATAGCATGGATTGCTTATATTAGACAACGGGGGCATTCCACGTCAAATCAAACACCGAAATCCGTCACCCCCTTCGATATTTCTGAAAATTTGTAGGCAGACTGGGCATGGTTCAAAACTGAGTTACGTATAATATTTTCGAAATTTGATAACGTATCGCTGAGATATAGGTCATCGAATATAGCGAAAAATGCCACACATCAATTTTTTAAATGGCTATATTTCTGGTTCCTTTTCTGGTATCAAAATGATATTAACAGGGTCTTATAGGCAATCGATAAGGCTTTGATTTTTAATTATAAAATTAAATTGAAGTGACCTTGAAATACATTTGACCTTGAATTAAAACAGAAAAATTTAAATAGCAAAAAACACGTCACCTTCGATTTGAGTAATTTTTACATATTATGTCCGTCACAATGTTCCTAACCATCTGTGAAAAAATTGGAGTGGGCCATTCATAACTTTCGCGGCAAACGCCGTTTTCATGCATCAACATCACGCAACCGCGCGTGACCTTGAAAGACAGAGTCAAGACATGCTTGCTTGTGCACACTTTCTGAAATGAATGATTGCTGATTAGTGATATCCCAAACTCTGCGAGAATGGAAATGCATAGTCATCGTAGTCAAGCATTCACCTTCCATAGCAAAAGTGTCTCAGGCAAACGGTATTTTGCGGTGAATTTTGAGCCGTGTGGAAATGCATCATGAAGTAAATTCAACGAAAACATTATCACGCAACGATATCTTCACGTCTTTTGATCTTCACTATACGAAAGAACATACATTTTTTTGTATGTATGGGGAATTTCTAGTTAATCCAATAATAAATATGGCAGTTAGAGGCCTGCTATTTAGTAACATGTCGCCGGCTGAGGCGGGCTCGGCCGATGCGGGAAACGCAGCAATCACAATTTTGTGTTTACACGTTCATATTTCAATTGTTAACCAACCGATTTTCAAAATTCTTTCACCATAAGATTGCCTGTACATTTCTTAGTCTTCTCACAAAATTTGACGTGAATCAAACGTAATCAGCGGTAGGGAGCGCGATGTAAAGACGGAACCGTTCCGTTCCGTCCCGGCACAGTCTACAATTCAGGCGGCGCGTAGCGGTCGGCGCCGGCTGCCGAGTCGCCGCGTCGCTGCGGCGACAGGATGTTCACTTTACACCGCTATTACTAGAACAGTTGTGAACCGATTTTCTTATTGCTTGCACGATGAGATGTCCAATTCAATTCTTGACAGGTAGCCATAATTAATTTCGCATTAATCTTATGAGATATTGGCGGAAAACAGGAGGGGTGGGCGAAATTCGCTCTTCCCCCTTCACTGCGCGTGCTAACATACCTTTGCATATGTGCAATTTTCTTCGAAACTTATGAATGGCCCACTCTAATTTTTTCACAGGTTGTTAAGAATATGGTAGGCAATAAAATATATGAAAATGAGCCAAATCGAAGGTGACGTGTTTTTTGCTATTTCAATATTTGTGCTTAAGAACAGAGTTAAGCAAATTTCAAGGTCATATATTTAAGTAGGTGCAATTCTAAACAAATGTTTGAGAAATTACCTAAACAGTAAGGTTTATTTCATTCAAATCAAACAAGTACAACCAAAGTTATAGGCGTTCAAAAATATAAAGATGCAACATTTTGTAAAAATTTGATGCCCTATATTTAGAAGACCTGTGGTCAGAATGTGCAAAAAATATCAATGTAATGTCCGGGGCCACACAGGAACTCGCTCACAAATTTATAATGAAATCGCTGATGGTAAGGTGCAAAACAGCCGATTTTTGTTCGATTTGACGTGGAATGCCCCAACGGTTCTTTAAACCCCAAAAGTTCACTCGAATCCCACGACCATCGGCATGCGTCATTTTGAGCTTATAGCCAAAAATGGTGATGCTTGTAAGTCATAGCATTTACAACAGGTGTGAATAAGATCAAGTGAAAAACATAATAAAGTAGGTATAATGAAACGTATTTTGCCAGCGAAATGAAACAGGACTTACAAGCCACGTCGGAGTGTGAAACTACATTTATCTATTTATAGTCACCGTGCATTTATCGACTATCACCAACAGTAAATCTCGTTTTTTGTCCTGACAGCCAGGGCTGCGGAGTCGGAGTCGGAGTCGGAGTCGGTCGGAGTCGACAGTTGTGACCGGAGTCGGAGTCGGAGTCGGAGTCGATTTTAGAAACCCGAGCCGGAGTCGGAGTCGGAGTCACCGAAAATCTGTCGACTCCGCAGCCCTGCTAGGTCTGCGGAGTCGGAGTCGGGAGTTGGAGTCGGTCGGAGTCGACAATTCTGCCCGGAGTCGGAGTCGGAGTCGGAGCTGGTTTTTGAATGCCGGAGTCGGAGTCGGAGTCGGAGTCGCCGAAAATCCATCGACTCCGCAGCCCTGCTGACTGAGCTGTCTTCATGTTGCTCTGACCATTTTTTTAGGCTAGAACATTACCGTACTAAACCGCCTTTAGTCTAAAGTTTCACCACGTGACCCGACACTATTGGAACACCCACTGTCATTTTCGGGACATGCTGCTAGCTGTTCCGGTGAGAAGAAAACTTGGCGAAGTTGTTGAAAAGCACCGTGTGAATCGTGCTCAGATTTACCAAGTCGTACTTTTAGGGCATTGCTTGTATTTCGGGCTCAACACCACGTAGCGGAATCGGTTATTGTCTTGGGTAAGTCGACAGACGATACTAATAAAACTGGTAAGGGATGAATAAAACTAAATAGATGTTAGTATTTAGTAATATATTTGTTTATATGTACATAGAGTGTGCAAAAATAAAGTGTCAAGGAAAACATAACATCTCAATAAAAAGTTGGTGAAGCGTTGCGTCAAGATAATTCAAGTCAAATATCAATTTTCATCAACAATAACGAGCGATTTAATTAAAGTGACCATCCCACCTTAACATTAGTTTTGAGTTGAGATAGCCGAATTGGTGGCCATGGCCTGCAAATACCGGTTTGGGCACTCACAACATCGAAAAATATTTTAATTCGGAGATATGGAATTTCAAACTTGCAGTTTTCGGATTATAAGGGGCTAATGCATTGAGATGCCCCCTTAGAATTTGTGACGTCAGCGGTGATCTAATGATTTTAAAACCTTATACTAACATCTTTGTGAAGCAGTGGTGATATATAGTACTAGGTCGTTCAATAAGTAAGGTAAAATCGCACTTATTTCAGTCCACCTTTGGTGTAACGACATGAAACTTGCAACATATGTTAACTGAAATCTTGTCTTCAAAATGGCTATAAGCATTTGGTATCAGGTCCCATCGATCAACCACCCCAGCCTTCAGAACTTGCACCTACTTCCAATCACCGTTTAGGCGCACGTGCTTATCTCAGCACTCCATCAAGCACTGAAAACCCGCTCGGAAAACTCCTTATTGATGTGTTTTGCCATGTCTTTTTTATTTTCCCGATTGCCTCATCCGTAAAAAGTTACTCCCAGAAACAGAACGTCTTCCGGCGATCCGAACAGATTGAAGCTGGACGGCGCCAGATCAGGGCTATACTCCAGCATTCCTGTACTGACAGAGCAAAGCCGCCCCCGGACTGATGCCTAGTCGAGCATCCTTCTGTTGTTGAGTAAATTCTTTTGGTATCCATCTCAGGCAGACCTTGAAAATATCTAACGTATCTGATGATGCCTGTAGCTGATTCGACTATAACACTTCACTCCGTAAATGAAGTCAGTCGCGCGAATGCTTTGGGTCTCCATCATCACCTCACTGACTTCACGGGTTGTGCCAGATCCAGAGGGTCCTGCAAGCATAGGTCTGCCTACCGTAGAATTTTGTCTCTTACACTGCCGTATCACTACCCACTGCCCACCACTAGCATTGTTAATGGCCATATGGCGTCATCAGGGTGCGATTTGCTGCCGACGCCAGTTTTGAGATGAACTCGAGGCTCACCTGACAAAACGGCACTTCCCAAACGGAACGGTGCTGCATCAATGTTTTCATACCGACCGTGTTCGGAGAATTTTTCAAACTCCTAAAAACGGTTGGATACGTTGTGTAGCAAATTTTTCGTAGAGTCAGATGACATATTTTATTTTGCTCAACTTGTTTAAGTTAATGAGCTATAGCACATTTTACCTTACTTATTGAACGACCTAGTATTATGCTATTTGCACGCAACATCTGTCGCAAACGCCGCACTTCCAAAATGATGTCGCTAGAAACAGCGGAGACCCCAAAAAAGTAAACAAAAGTAAAAGTCGAATATCTTGAACACCGGTGAAAATTTTTCGGTGAAATTTGGTAGAGATTCGTTTTTGCTCTTTCTGAACCGAGCGACATTACTTTCATGCCAATTCATTGACTTTTTTAAGGTAAGAGGGTCCCTTTAATATAAATGACCGTTAACTGCGCAGCGTCATTTCCTCCGTTCAAACAGACCTACTGCATGTAATCTAACACTTCAAAGCCGAATATTGTTTGAACTTGGTTCATCTTTTATGAATCAGAGACCCTACTTCCCAAAGCATTTGTACGTATAGATGTCCCAAGCCTTTCGTTTGACCAGCCTCCGTCATTCGTCTCTATAATATAAAAATTAGACTATTGTTTTTTCCAAGAAAATGATCCAACTCATAAACAGTACCATTACATATTATTCCACTTCGACCAACTTTCTGCAAACATCTAATAGCGTGTAGGTAGGTACTTATCAGGTAAATTGAGCTCACTTTTTACACCCACCTTGTTAGACGATTCTATCTAGTTTTCTCGCCGATCGCTGGGCCTGTTGCTGTTCTTCACTGGTGACCTCCAGCAGAGCCGAGCCGACCCGACCGGACCAGTGCCCGAGCCAGACTGCAGGGCGTCGAGTCGTTCGTCGGCTCCGACGCTGGGAATCCGCGCCAGCCGACGAGCGCGACGGCAGCGGCGAGAGGCGTGAACTCGGAGGTGGCTGCAAAAAGCTGATCACGTGTACGAGAAATTTCGCAAGCGTTCGTTTCCTTCATATCATACTCTTTTTCTCGTTCACTGTATTTCTACATATAGAGATGATAATGCGACAGCTGACAGAATTGTATTGTCTATGATTGAACTGGCATTGAACTATGTATTGTAGGTATACCTACCTAGAAATGGCATTGCTTATAGAGTGCAAAATGTGTAGACTGTAAAGAGTTACGCTAAAAGCAATGAAGTGGAGTGTTTGATTAATATTGTATCAGACCTACATGCCTCAACGCCCTACAGCCTCTTCTAAGCTGCATTGCATCCAAGCTTCAAAACGATTCCTCCCTGCTTTACGGCTTCGTCAGCTCACGCCCCACAAATTCAGTTATTGAGCACTTCGATCTGTGTCTGTTGTCAACGTGATTCTAACTGTTAAGAGTAAGACATTACTTCTGGTAGATATTGATGCAGAAACTAGTCATGAATTGTAAACCGCTACAAAGCCAAGTAGCGATGCCCAAGCAGTAAGCACACACACCCACGCATAAACGTCCCCACGTTCCCTGATGCAACGGGAAGCCTTACTTACTTATAGAAGACCCAGAATCTGCTCTCCGAATATCGGGTGACCTCACCAAATCGGCCAAGGCCAGGGTGTAGCACAAGCCGATAGGTCCGGCGAAGGTTAACAAGAAGAGTAACGCCTGGACGAAAAAGTATATTATACGTAATGTTACAACCACCATGTGTGATCAAAGAGTGGATCAGTCAAGATGGCCACTGTGTGGCTATCAGTAATGTCAACAAACCAAGCTTCATGCTAACGACACTCACATCACCAAAGTGAATTTGGATATTTAACCCGCGCACGACTGGGGTATTTTCCATAACGCGGCTGACGGGGGGGGGGGGTGCTCTACAGAGCCTCCCTCCTATCTCCGTAACTACTGAGCCGAGCGTCAACACTGAAACGGTGTTTCATAGTCCAAGAAAACTGTCCAACGAAACTTAACTTCATTGACCTCAAGGCAGTCGATTACGTCACAGGTCAGGTCAAAATAAAAATTATCAACATTTTAACTTCTTCACAATTTACCTAGGCTCTGGCCGCCGGCTTACAAGTCCAATCGCATCCTCATTCTTGGTTTACGCAATCCTTGGTATACATATGCGCTGCCTTAGATACCCTGAGGCCCGGGTACCGAACTTGTACTTTCAATTATCTTTAATGTCAAGGCCAGATCATACTAGGTCACAGAAGTTTTATGTCATGTATCGGTCCCGTGACACATGTTTTATGGTCGATTTGAGCCATAGAATTAAAAAAGTCGTCTGTGTCATTTGAGGCCATTTTCAGTTGAATATATTTTAGGTCAGCTCACTTTCAGGTAAAAAGGTCAATTTTTGAATTTGACATTTTTAACCCGCGCCCGGCTGGGGGTCCTGGATTTCCACGCCCTGCTGGGGGGGGGGGTGTTTGAACACCCCCTTGTAATTCGGCTCCTGGGCCACGTAGCGATACGTGGAAGGCGGCGTTCGAAAGAGCGTCAAAAATAATGACGAAATCACTTCAGTCAATTTTTTGGTCAGGTCAAAGGTCAGGTCACCAGAGGTCATTGAAGGCAAAATTTCGCCGATTTTCAGGTCGAATGTCGAAAATTTCCAAGAAGCCAACGCATAACTCGGGAACCAATAGAGCTACAGCGCCGCGGAAAAGCGCATTCGATAGCTCTATTAACCCGCGCCCCGTAGGGCTACCGGCGGACCCTACCACCCGTAGGGGGGGGGGGGCCGTTTCGGCCCCCCCCTAAGATCTCGGAAAGTTACCGGCCGATTTTCAAAATTCAAACGGCGTTCGATAGCCCCACCCGGGAACTACCTTATGACCAAATTTCATTGACCTAGGTCAAACCGATGACGTCACAGGTCAGGTCAAAGGTCAGATTTTCACCGTTCACAGGCATTTCAAGAAATGTGTTGTGAAATCGAGTTAATTGGTAATTTATCGAAAACCATCGATGGTACATTGTTCGTCAAACACATACTTTGCTATCTGAGGTCACTGATACCAGGTCAGGTCACAGCGAGGTCAGGTCACCGGGGTCACAATATGAAAGTGTCGTGTGATACATGTTTTATGGTCCATTTTACATGACAAATGCGATTATGTGGGCTAGGCAGCCTTTGGGGCCAGCCTAGGTCACGTTTTGGTGAAGGTCAGGTCAAGGTCAGGTCAAATAAGGTCAAATTTCAAAGTTGATATTTTTGCATAAAATGGGTATCGATTCGATGCAGCTCGTCACGGGGAGTCTAATGGTGGTCTTTGTTTTGCTCTACGAGGTCTAGAACTGCCAAAAATTGAGTTTGAAAATTTGACGTCATCAATTTTGAACAGTTTTTCGCTATAACTTGGCCAAAAAACGAGGTATCGATCTGAAATTCGGTATGTAGATAGAAGACGGTAGGTACTATCACATATATTCCGTTTTTTTGAAACTCAAAAAACTTTTTGGATTTTTTGACTTATATATCCAAAAAAATGTTTTTTTGATTTTTGGGGTTCAAAACTCAAAAATTTCAAAAATCCGAGATAGCAGTTTTGTAGCCCTGTCAATTCTACACCTTTTATGTCTTGATCACTTTTCTGTATCTTCAAAGCTGTAGGCCTGACAGGTCTTCTCGCGAAGGTCTTTTTTCGGTCGAAAATGACAGAACATGACGTCATTCTGACGTCATTTGTGGCCAACCTATCATAGCCTCTGAAAAAAGTTTTGGTCACAATGTGTAAAATTGATGCCCGGAGGGGTCCTGAAAGTTTGGTGGCGTTATCTGAAGCGGTTTAGGAGATATCGACCGAAAAGGACAGGGGGGGCCGTTTCGGCCCCCCCCTACGGGGCGCGGGTTAACGCCCTTTCTGAGTAATTCTCCCAGATTTAACCTAACGTCAACGGTTTTGCCTGCAGGGGGCAAAAACTGCAAAAATAGCCGATTTTTTCGGAAACAGTTTTTCTGCAATAACTTTTGACCCAAGCCCTGTACGAGCTTACTTTTACCAGCATCGTGTTCCTCTCGTCAAGACGCATCGAATGAACTATAATTTGACCTTGAAAGGTCAACTTGAAAATTTGACCTCAGGTCAAGGTCATGACCTGACCGGAAAGGGTCATGTTGCATATCAGTCGATCCGTATCGTCGAGCTGAACACATCTAAGGCGTTTTCATCGCTCTAGCATGCCTCTATCAAAAGTTATTTGCGAAAAACTGTTAGATACCATTCGTGACCTAAGATGACCTCAGGGCATAAACAAGGGTCACGGACACCATTTTCATGTTCAGTGTGTCTAAACCACTTGTAATTCGGTGTTTGGGAGTGTTTATAATGTCTTTCGTCCAAAAGAGGCGCATTTCAATTTTCTCCCATTGACTTATAATGGGGAGGTCGCAAAATTGACCTGACCTTAGGTCATCGATATCAAAATTCTGGGATATACATTTTGTACATGCTATCATAAGCGTAGGAACCATGGGTGCAAGGGTGCAGCTGCACCCACAATATTTATTCAGTGGGTGCAGACAATGTATTCTGCACCCACAATAATCTGAACCAAAAACCCCTTTTTCATCAACACTACTTCCCATGCAGCACGGCAAATTCAGGATATGTTGCCTACTATCCATCTTTCGAAGCATTTGCTACTGTGATGGTCTTCAAAACTTACATTTGTGCTGAAAAAAGGGAAATGGAGCATGTGATTGAACACATACCGAACCGATGACCCACTGTCAAAAATTTTAGCCCGATATTTTCAAAAATGGCTAAGTTGGCCGCTTTTACTTTTTGCGGTTGTCAATATTGACAATATTAGCCCTCGCATGTGTGCAGCGTTTTCCAGCTTCTAATGTGTAGGGGGATGGGGAGGGGGGTCGGTCGGACCCCCTGCCGTTCGGCCCCTGATCGAGCTAGAGCTTCGCGGAAAAAAACGAGGGTGTTGCCCGTGACCAGAGGAAGCCGATGATACCCAATTTTAAGGTCTTGCTTCATTGGTTGACCTTCCAGGTCAGGTCAATATTCCAAAAGTCGGGAAAATCGGGACCTGCTAGAACTGCGTAAAGTGAAGCTGTTATCGGGTTTTTCGGGGTGCTGATCACGAATATCTGATGTTAGTTTTGACTTTTGATCACAGATGATTTCTTCAGGCATTTAGGCCAGATCGGGTCAGGTTAGGTCAGGTCAACCATAAGGCGTCCTACCGGCTATCCATAGTAGGTGTCAACTACCACTGACGGCGTCGTAGCATGTCACGAAAGCACTAAAACTACTTCGCCGCGTAAACGTTCAAATGGATGCTAAATTCGAAATCAGCCCTATAAACTACCCTAGAAACATGTAAAACTCGAAAAAGTGAACCGAAGTCATCAAAGGTCAGTGACCTGACCTGACCTTCAGGTTACCTTCACACCCACCGTGATGCATGGGAAGAACATCATTTCACATGTTTGGACGTCTACAATCACAAAAAGACTGGAAACGCGCGGATAATGTGAGCTGACATACGCCAAATCGCGATTCCGGCCGAACATGGTCTCGAGAACCAGGTCACAGGTCAAAGGTCTTTTGGGTCAGGATCATGAAATTTTCAGAGTAGGTGTAAAACTGATCAACTCGAGGGTCCTAAAAGTTTCGTCGCGATCGGCCGCTTTTTGCGCGAGTTATTTGCGAACAACCATGGGGGGGGGGGTTCATCCGACCCCCCTACACATGCGAGGGTCAATGCTTCCAAATGCACTTATCGGTCGGTACCTTTTCGACATGGTACACCCTCAAAGCTCGTAACGAGCCTTCGCTCGGGTGTCGCTCCCTACCCCTCCCCCCCCGCTTCACCGGCCATGGCTGGATTTCTGCACCCATGCACCCACAATGTTCCAGCCGTTCCTACGCCCATGCATGCTATTGCTCTCAGCAATCGCTGAAAGTTTCAAAGCGATCGATCACTCGGTGTAGCTATGACAGACATTGAAACTTTTTATGAGGTGAGGTCACTTCAAGTGACCTGGTGACCTGACCTTGAATGAACTTGGTCTGAAATTTTTACAACATGTGTAGAATTGATGTATGATAAGGTGTACCAAAAACATGGCTGACATGGCTGGTGACCTGACCTTGAATGAACTTGGTCTGAAATTTTTACAACATGTGTAGAATTGATGTATGATAAGGTGTACCAAAAACGGCGGCGCTCCGCGCCGCCGTTTTTGAGATATTCACGAAAAACCACAAGGGGGGTGTTCAAACACACCCCCCCCCCCAGCAGGGCGCGGGTTAAAACTGACCTCTTGAGAGCGACTGCCGATGTTTTGCATCAAAATCGGATAGCTTTTGACATGACATGACATGACGTTAAATAAATAAAATAAATGAAATCGGCTGACATGGCTTCACTGTGCCGTCATTTCCAGCTGACCTATGGTAGCTATAAAATATTCATTGGGACTGTCAAATTGATGCAGCCGAAGCTACTACAAGTTTCGTGTTAGTAGGTCAAGCTGTTTAGAAGAAATTGCAGAAAAACGGGAGGGGGCTCTGTAGAGCCAAGAGTTAACCCTCGCCCGTAAACGGCGATCTGCCACCTTCGCCCATGCAGGGGGGGGGGGTTGGTGCGACCCCCCCCCCCTTGGCGTTTGAAAACGGAGCGTCGTAGAGCTTAGCGGAAAAAAACCAACGGATTGCTCTCAACGACATCTCGCGATTGGTGGTATATTTTTTGGTCCTAGGTCAACATTTGACCTACTTTTGACCGGTCAAAGGTCAAATTTTCGGAAAAATGGACTTTTTCAAATTTTCCGCGGCGATTGCGGCAAAACGGTGGGAGATATCGACTTGAAACCTTCACTATCATGTTCCTTGATCAATTCTCTATCGTTTGGTATGTATTTCGTTTCCCTAGCTCTAAAAATGGCGCGTTGGGAGCGCCGGAAGTCGGCAAGGTCACAGTCGGCGGCAGAAATTTGAAAAATCAAAATTTAAATTTTTGAAATCTGATTGTATTTTTGGATTTGGGATGTCCATTTGCTCCCTATAGAAGCTAATATTGCTGCATATTCCCATTGAGGTGACAAGAATTAGCAAAATAGTGGTTCGGGCGCTTTTCAAAAATAGTACCGGACGCTGTTCCTCTTGTGACGTCATAGCTCCGTGACCTGACCTGACCCCGTCAAGTTTCTTATACCATATGATAGCCAATACTTGCCCCAACATGCATGGGAAGTTTCATCACGATCCATCAACCGATGTCCGTACCACCGGCAGGAAACCTCGGGCGTTGGCACTCAGTTTGTGAAAATCCGGCCTGAGGCTGTTCCCTTTGTGACGTCATAACTCCGTGACCTGACATGACCCGGTCAATTTTTTTTTTTTATTAAAAGATGCGCAAGGTTTGCCCCATAAGGTACCCAAAATTTGGCGGCGCTGCGCGCCGCCGTTTTTGCGCTATTTCCGAAAAACCTCAGGGGGGGGGGGTTGCACCAACCCCCCCCCCTACATGGGCGAGGGTTAATGCGCGAGTTAATGGTACTTGAAGTGCCTTTGCGAGGAACATAGCGAGTATAAATGGTTTAACTGTTAAGGATCATTAACCTTTTCCTCGGACAAACAAAATAAAAGCCGAAAGCTACATTCAATACGGTGACCTTTCGGCTACAAGCCTTCGTCAAACCAAGAAAAGAAAAGACTAAATGTCTTTCTTAGCTGCCCAAACACAGCTCTTTTCTTGGTTTTCGGGCTGATGACAGAGCTTCCGTGACGTAAATGAAGGAATTGCTTCACGGACGGTTGGACGGTCAGCCTGTAGTCACTAGCATACCTGCAACGTGTTCGTTTTGCGTGACGCCATCGTGTAAGTTGTGTCCCTTTTCTGACGGATTATCTTCAATAACGTTATTGTTTTGAGATATTTCGTAAGATTCGGGATCATTTTAACGAAAAATATAATTTCAATGTCTAGAACTATTTAAAAAATGCTTGTTTTTACTCCCGTAGAAGTTCACACATGATGTCAACATTCTCTCGTGACGCCACCTGGATTTATCGCCTTGGAACCGGTAACTCCGAAAATGAAGGAATTCCTTCACTGGCAATGAAGGAATTCCTTCACTGGCAGTCGGGTCGATAACAGAGCGGCAGCTGACAGAGGGGGCTGAATAGCTCACTTCCCCATTGATCATTCCACTTCGCGTTCCACTGCCCGTTCGACACGACTCCCATCACAATGTAGTACTGGTTTCCGTTCATGTTGTTGGGCTGGTGATCGCCCCAGTAGGGATCGGTGGACAGGGCGGTGCCACAGCCGTCGGCGCCGACGAACTGGCCTTCGGTGATGACGTCGGTGAGACCAAGCCAGACAGTGGTGCCGCCAGCGGCAATCATGGCGCATCGGTTCTCCTCGTCAGAACGGGGCACGGCCAGGTGGGCGCCCAGCGCGGCGCACTGGCTCTCCGCTTCAGTGTAGGTCACTGCCAGGTCCAGTCGCTTCAGACAGCGGCCGGCACAGCGGATGAAGCCGGCCGGACAGGCGCAGGGATCGGATGTGTTGCCTGAGAAACGTGCAAAAGAAGCACAATCAAATGACTCTGCTTTTGAAGCCAACCGATATTTTATGTTGAAATTTTGGCCAATGAAATAAATTGTTGGTATTACATGTACCTACATATTGTAACCTCAGCACATACGGAATTGAGGGGTTGATGATTTATCGTAGACTGACCACGACCATAGGCGGCGGAACGGGGAGGGCACTGGGGCACCGTGCCCCCCTTTGATTTTGGCATTTTAACATTAGCCCTATGGGCGTTGGCATGGAAAGAATGGGACCAAAAGTCGGCAGTGCCACTGCCCCCCCCCCCCCCCTAATTGAAGGTGTTCCGCCGCTGACTACGACTTCATATCATATATTTAGGAATACATCCACAAAATGGGTTTTCAGCGTTCCACGTCATGTAACACAAGTAAAAACATTTTCCTATTAATCCACATTTGCATCACCCTTTAAAAGGCATCTGCGATACACTTTTTTAAAGACAGGAAGAGAAGACGCGTTTCTCGCATCTATTTGACTTAAAATCTGATTCCCAACATTCACCAATCATCTTACCCTGCGCCCGACTGGGTCTCAAATAGTATTTGGCATACCGATACCAAACAGATACTAAATTGATATTTGGTATTCCAATCTTTTTTATTTTTTACAGGTTTTACAGATTTTCTTCACTTGTGTACGAGAAGTTCTGAATTTCGCAGAGTTGATGTTTCTCTCGATTTCCCATGTTCGCTCGGTTGACATGTTTGGTATTTCAGCCCATGGGTTTGGTATCGATACCGCCATTATCTGGTTATCAAGTTATGTTTTAGACGAATGGGTGTAGTCACTTATGAATTACGAACGCTCCATTTGAAGTTGGCTGAGATGGCCACCCGGGCAAGAGCTAACCTACTCTGGATGATGATGTAAATAATAAACCAATTAGTGCAAGTCAAATCTATTCAAAAACACACAAAGCTTTTGACTTCAACAGCCTTGATCATTATGTCATAGGTAAGGTAAGGTATCTAACAGGGGCGCACCCAGGATTTTCCAGGGGAGGGGGCCCGGGCTCAAAGGGGCCTCCGTGTTCCGCTTGCCAGGGGGCCTTTTCTCTATCGAGGGGGCCTCCAAATGGCTTACTTTTTGACGGCCTCTGTATGTTTGGTGACGTTCTTAGCGTTATTAGTAAAGCTTAACCCTCACCCTGGCAGGGGGGTCGATGCGACCCCCCCCCCCCCCCTAAGGTTTTTCAAAGATAGCGTAAAATTGGCGGCGCGCAACGCCGCTAAATTTGGCACAACCTATGGGGCAACCTTTTTTCATGTGATCTGCAAATTTCAGGTCCGGTCGACCTTGGGTCAGGCCACCATGTCAGAAAAACGGGTACAAGGTTATGGTCAAATTTAATTTTTTATGTACCTGTCCAACGCACAGTTTTGGACTGATTTCCTTCAAACTTTCAGGATGTGCTAAGTTCACCGAGCTGTATAATATGTAGTTTGTTTTTTATGTCACTGACCTGAGGTCAGTTAGGGGTCATTACGTCGTAATGTTAAGCCTATGGGAAAATATTCAAATAACTCCTATTCGGAAAATATAGAGATGTCCGCTTCGTTGTATCCCTTTTGTTCTTTGATACCACAGTACTTAACATAATGTCACTCGGTGTTTCTTTGTTTGGTGTACTTATCTAAGGTTCAGGTCAAATGAGGTCAACTCAGGTCAAATGACGTTTGTGCCGATAACTTGTCACATAATAGAACAGGTTTCAAAATGGTATCATTCTGTTCCTCTTGAACAGCTGAGTCGAATGATATGCAACATTAAGCATTTCAACCATTCCTAAGACTTAAGTTTTACTTAAGTTGTGCACTTAAGTACACTTTAATACCTACACTTTTAAGTACACTTAAGCAAACAAAAAAAAGTATATCATTCGACACGCCTTGACGTGCTGAGTTCACTGGTGCTTTTGTTTTGCTCTATCTTAACCCTCGCCGGCCGAAGGGGGGGGGGGCGGGTGCCGCCCCCCCCATAGGGTTTTTTCGCGATAGCTCCGAACACGCTGGCGATAGAGAGCTGAAACTTGGCATACCTGACCTTTGATCCAAGCCGCATCTTTTGACACCAACCGCATTTTTGGGTCAGGTCAGGTCACTGACCTATGACGTCATAAGTGAACCTCTGCACGGTCTACAGATGTCGCAACTTCGCAACGCCCTCACTGCCAGAGGAGAAGTCACAGGGAAATGAAACTTGCAGGATCTAGTATCCATTATGAGTCCCACAACTTGTATATCTCGGATTTTTCCTAAAGGTCATACGAGGTCAGGTCATTTTCGTGACCTCACCATTATAAGTCAATGGGGAAAAATGAAAACTGCTATTCTGGCGCCGGGAACGATCTCCAACTATCTCAAGCACACAGAATCGTGATTTGATGCACTCCTTGCAAGGTTAGATGCGTCACTTTTGCAATGTTGACCTTCCGTGACGTCATTTGTGACGTCATCAAGGTCATATTAGTTTTTCGTCAATAACTCCCGATCAAATTGAGCTAGCGAGTCGGGAAAGCCACCAATGGACTCAGGAAGACCTGCCGAATCGAATGATATGCAACATGACCTCTTTCGACCAACTTCGTGACCTGGGGGTGCTGACCTGACCTTGACCTGAGGTCAACACCCCAAGTTGACCTGACCCGGACAAAAAGTATGTCATTCGACGCGCCTGAGCGAGACGAACACGATGCTGCCAAAATCGGCGCTCTGCGGCCGTTTTTTGCGAAGTTATTCACCAAAAACTGAACCGTACCTTGGGGCACTTGACCTGACCTCAGAGGTCACCGGTTGACCTAGGACCTTAAAATCGGGTACCAATCTCTGCGTCTCGTAACGGCGCACACGCTCGTTTTTTCCGCGACGCGCTAGCTCCACCAGGGGCGAAACGGCGAGGGGGGGGTCGTACCCCCCCCCCTCGGCCGGCGCGTATGTAGAAAACCAATAGGTCCGGCGAGGGTTAACCCGCGCCGGGCCGGGGGGTGTTTGAACACCCCCCCCCCCCCCCCGGCGGCTTTTCGCAGCTCCGCGCCGCCGTTTTTAACACACCTGTTCGTGCATCTTTTCCGCACATGCTGTGAAAATTTCAGACCCAGGTCTCTCAAGGTCAGGTCAGAAACAAATTAGAATGTTCGTCATGGCTACACCGACCGCACGATTGCCTTGAAACTTTCAGCGATTGATGAGAGTAACAGTGTATCTCGTGTATCCTATAAAAGCGTGTATAAAAACCTATTAAACGTGTATCTCGGAATTTCGATATCGGTGACCTAAGGTCAGGTCAATTTTGCGGCCTCTCTATTATAATTCAATGGGAGAAAATTGAAAGGCGTCTGTTTTGCACGAACGCCATTCTAGACACTCTCAAACATCGGGATGTAGGTAAAATGGACACACTGAACCCGAAAATTGCACCTGTGACCCGGAGTGTGACCCCTCGTTCTGAGATGTCCCCGAGGTCATCTCAGGTCACGAATAGTATCTAACAGTTTTTTGCTAATAACTTCTGATAGAGGCATGATAGAGCGATGAAAACGCCTTAGATGTGTTCGGCTCGACGATGCGGATCGACTAATATGCAACATGACCTTTTCCGGTCAGGTCCTGAGGTCAAATTTTTAAGTTGACTTTTCAAGGTCAACTTATAGTTCATTCGACGCGTTTTGACAAGAGGAACACGATTCTGGCAAAAGTAATGTCGTGGCTTTTTTGAGTCAGAAGTTATTGCCGAAAAACACTGTTCGTAAAAAACGGCTATTTTTGGAGTTTTTGCCCTCTGGAGGCTAAACCGTTGACCTGAGGTCAAATCTGAGGACATATTGGCGAAAGAGCGTCAAAAGAGCTATCGAATGCGCTTTTCCGCGGCGCTGTAGCTCTATCGGTTCCCGAGTTAGCCGTTGGCAGTTTCCAAAATGTTGAAATAGCCAACATTTTACCTTTGGTGACCTCTGGTAACCTGACCTTTGACCTGACCCAAAAAATGACTGAAGTGTTTTCGTACTTATTTTGGACGCTCTTTTGAATGCCGCTTACCGCGTGTCGCTACGTGACCCAGGAGCCGAGTTAGAAGGGGGTTTTCAGACACCCCCCCCCCCGGCCCGGCGCGGAAGTCGCGGAGCACCTGCCCGGCGCGGGTTAATTAGATCAAAAGTTATCAGCGAAAACTTTTGACCTGTTTTAGCAAATTTTTTACAATTATACCTCCCAAAAACCCCTAAATATTGACCTAGAGCAACCAAATTTGCACAGGGACGAGGATTTTAAGAGGGCCACCTACCTACCAAATTTGGTATTTCTAGGTGCCATAGGATCCAATCGCGAGGGGGGTCGCATCGACCCCCCCCCCCCCTCTGCCAGGCCGCGTTATGAAAAATGCCCTGCCAGGGCGAGGCGCTGCCCGGATAGGACCTCTTGTGAAGAGGGGCCTCCTATCCAGAGATGGCCTCTTTCCCAGAGACGGTCTCCTTCCAGAGGGGATCCAGAGAGAGTCCTGCCAGAAGGGGCCTCTTGTGCAGAGAGGGAGCCTTCCATCAGGAGAGGGCATAAAGGGTCTCGTTCAAGAGGCCAGAGGGGCCTCCTGACTCCTGCCCAGAAAGGGCCCCTGTGCAGAGGAAGCCTCGGGGTCTCCTGCCCATAAAGGAGCTCCTGCCAGATGGGGCCTCCTGGCTCCTGCCTAGATAGGGCCCTCTGTGCAGAAGGGAGCGTCCCATCCAGAAGGGGCCTCCTAAGCATAAAAGGTCCTCTGCCAGAGGGGACTCCTGCCCATAAAGGGTCTCCTGCCAGAGGGGGCCTCCTGGCTCCTGCCCACAAAGGGCCTCCTGTGCAGAGGGAGTCTCGGGGCCTCCTGCCCATATAGGATCTCCTGCCAGAGGGGGCCTCCTGGCTCCTACCCAGATAGGACATTTTGTGCAGAGGGGGCCTCCTGACTGCTGCCAAGATATGTCCTCTTATGCAGAGAGAGACTCCCATCCAGAGAGGGCCTCCTGCCCAGAAAGGGTCTCCTGCAAGAGGCCAGAGGGGCCCCCTGACTCCGGCCCAGAAAGGGCCCCTAAGTAGAGGAAACCTCGGGGCCTCCTGCCCAGTATAAGATTTCCTGCCAGAGGGGGCCTCCTGCCCAGTATAAGATTTCCTGCCAGAGGGGGCCTCCTGGCTCCCACCCAGATAGGGCCATCTGTGCAGAAGGGAGCCTCCCATGCAGAAGGGGCCTACTAAGCAGAAAAGGTGTCCTGCCAGAGGGGCCTCCTGCCTATAAAGGCTTTCCTGCCAGAGGGGGCCTCCTGCTCCTGTCCAGAAAGGGCCTCCTGTGAAGAGCGAGCCTCGGGGGCCTCCTGCTCATGAATGATCTCCTGCCAGAGGGGGCCTCTTGATTCCTGCCCAGATAGGGCCTCTTGTGAGAGGTGCCTCAAATCCAGAAGGGGCCTCCTGTGCATAAAAGGTCCCCTGCCAGACGGGGCCTCCTGCCCATCAAGGGTCGCTTACCAGAGGGGGCCTCCTGTGCAGAGGGAGCCTCGGGGGCCTCCTGCCCATGAAGGATCTCCTGCCAGAGGGGGCCTCTTGATTCCTGCCCAGATAGGGCCTCCTGTGAGAAGGTGCCTCACATCCAGAAGGGGCCTCCTGCCCATCAAGGGTCGCCTACCAGAGGGGGCCTCCTGGCCTCTGCCCAGATAGTGCATCTTGTGCAGAATTATAGTAGGTTAGGCAGGAAAGTCAAGTGTAAAAGTACCCTAAGCGGTGCTCAGGGGGCCTCCTAATTATGACCGAGCGGGGGGGGGGGGGGCCCGGGCCCCAAGGCCCCCCCTTGGGTGCGCCACTGGTATCTAAAGCCTAAGATACAGTGATCAAGGCTGTTGAAGCCGAAAGCTTTGTGTGTTTTTGAATAGATTTGATTTGTACTAATTGGTTTATTATTTACATACATCATTATCCAATCTGTCATGGATAATCAACTAACCTACTCTGTTTGAGTACTCAGCCCAACATTGGGTTCCATAAAGTACACAATGTGAACATTTCTCGGGGTTCTCTTTGTTTTCTTACCGGGACATTTGGACCGGGCCATGTAGCGTTCGGTGGTCTGTTGAGAGCTGACGATGGCCGGACCGCGGCAGTCGCCAGAGAACAGCCGGCACGTGCCGTCATCGGGTCCGTAGATGAAGCCGCTGCACTCTTCAGGAGAAGCTTCCTCGCACAGGAGACCGCAGTCGATCTCCGATTCAGCAGAGAGTATCTGTACAGCCGGACCTTGGAGGGACACCGGGTCCAGCCAGCGGTACCGGACCGCGGCCGCTGACGTCACCAGGAGCAGCAGCAGTACCGCTCCCGGCCGGGCCATGGCTCCAAGTGGTAAATTCGGTGGTGCATTTTGCTATTACCTTCCCTGGCTCTATGATCTGCGTGGTTAAATTGTATGAAAGTATGCACAGCGGGTACTTTATGCAAATAATGCTTGAAGCATCCTCAACAAATTGACAGTAATTTCAATGACATATTATGATGCCGACCACCAAATGTGATTAGCTAATCATAGCAAAAGGATCATGATTGCTATATTTGTGCGCACTCACAATGTCTTCGTCATGTCAAAACATATTCCGTAGATGTTATCTAGAACAGTTACGGGCTACAATGTATGCTCTTATGCTTGAGGCCGATGTTCATTAATGTTCACGTCAGGGGCGGATCCAAGGGGGGGGTCACATGGGTCATGGCCCCCCCTTGAGGCCCGGGGGCCCAAAGACCTGCCAGGGGCACCACCGGCCTATCAGGGGTATCACAGTCCTGACAGGGGCACCACAGGACCGCCAGGGGCACCACAGGCCTAGCAGGGACACCTTGGGCCTGGTGCCCCTGGGCCCTGACAGGACTGTAACGCCCCTGACAAGCCTGAAGTGTCCCCGGCAGGCACGTGGTGCCCCTGACAGGCCTGAGGCGCCCCTGCAAGGCCGGTGGTGCCCCTGGCAGGCCTGTGGTGTCCATGGCAGGCCTGTGGTGCCCTTGCTAGGCCTCTGGTGCCCCCGACAGGCTTGTAATGCCCCTGGAAGGACTGTGGTGCCCCTGGGCCCTGACAAGCCTGAGGTGCCCCTGACAGGCCAGTGGTGCCCTTGCCAGGCCTGTGGTGCCCCTGGCAGGCCTCTGGTGCCCCTGACAGGGTTGCGGTGCCCTTGGAAGGACTGTGGTGTCCCTGGGCCTGACAAGCCTGAGGTGCCCCTGACAGGCCCGTGGTGCCCTTGTTAGGCCTGTGGTGCCCCTGGCAGGCCTCTGGTGCCCTTGCTAGGCCGCTGGTGCCCCTGGCAGGCCTCTGGTGCCCTTGCTAGGCCGCTGGTACCCCTGCGCCCGGAGAGGACTGGTGCCCCTGAAAAGTCTGAAGTGCCCCTCGGCAGGCCCGTGGTGCCCCTGACAGGCCCAAGGTGCCCCTGCGAGGCCGGTGGTGCCCCTGGCAGACCTCTGGTGCCCCTGGCAGGTCTGTGGTGCCCCTGGCAGGTCTGTAGCGCCCCTGGCAGACCTGTGTTGACTGGTGCCCCTGCTAGGCCGCTGGTGCCCCCCACAGGCCTGCGGTGCCCCTGGAAGGACTGTGGTGCCCCTGCCCCTAGGGGTGCTCATGGGCCCAACAGGCCCGTTGTGCCCCTGACAGGCCTGTCGTGTATACTTGCTAGACCTGTGGTGCCCCTGGCGGGCCTGTGGCGCCCCTACAAGGCCGTAGGTGCCCCTGACAGGTTTGTGGTGTCCCTGGAAGGACTTTGGTGCCCCTGACAAGCCTGAAGTGTCAAGGACAGACCCTTTAGACGCCAGGATCAAGTTCGTCGGACTGACAACGATTTGCTTACCTGATAACGTTCCTGGTAAGTACTCACTACTCAGCGTCCACAACATATATGTATACACATAGCACATTCATATATACTTGCTTACAATTGGTAAATGTGGTTGTGGCTAAGAGTTAAGATACTGACTAAAAATAAAAAATAAAAAGAAAAAAAACTGAAAATGGGGGCACCACCAAAATGAAGTGGACGAAATCCGTTGAGTTTTTAATTTTGGGTATAGGTAGGGGCACCACTTCGATTCATGACCCTCCCCTTGGAGTTTTCCTGGATCCGCCCCTGGTTCACGTTCATATTCTAGATAACTGCTTTTAAAGAACTTATTTCATGCACCACTCATCAACAAAGCAGCGCTATATGATGGTACACAGAGCACATCCCTGTATAACTCGGATAATGTCTAGGGCAAGGACGGCATCATAATATTACTGGGTCACCGATCAAATAATCATATGTCATCCAGTAATCAAGTAAATATGTATGTATGTACGCATAAATAAAAAACTACACATTTTGATGTAATGGTAGGCATAGCATACTTTCACAGGTAGGCACGTAATGTGTATGTTTTAACCCTATTAGTGGCAGGCTCCTGGCTACCCCATATTAGTGGCAGGGGGGGGGGGGGCTGTTTACGACCCCCCCCTTGATATCTCGAGATCTAACCGGCCGATCATCAAAATTCAAACGGCATTCGATTTGGCTCAACGAGATCTACATTTCTAAAAAAATAAAATTAAAAAATGTCAATAGGGGGGTAGAGGGGGGTAAAAACGGGCAAATTGCAGATACATTTTAGACTGTTTATCACGGCCATGTTTCTGAACCAATCTTAACGCAAGTTTTGCCGATCGATAGAGAATGAACCAGGAATTCACATGGATCCTAAAAATATGCATTTTCAAAAATCATAGGCGGATACAGATCATTGAGATTGGGGGTACACAAAAAGTATAGTAAATAAGGTTTTTGTTGGTACTGTTTCTAAAAAGGGTGGCAATGGTCTTGTTATGTTACAATTTCTTATGAGAGAACAACTAAAATTGTATTGGTCATGCATAGGCGGTGTCAGGGCACCTATGTTGGGAGGTAAAAAATAACCCCCCTTTTTGGACGCCTGGATCCGCCTATTATAGCAAAAACGTGTCAAAAGAGGATGCACAATAACTTTGTATATGTTATAACATGATACCTTTCATTCACTGTTCGTAAAACTGGTGCAGCATCGTGATCTTCGCCCAAATGACTCGCTTCACGAATAGGACCCCCCAATTCCCAGTGCTCTGGAGCCGCCCCTGGTAAAGTTATGAACTTAAAATTTTCAGGGAATGTGCCCAATTTAGTTTTAGGAAAAGTCAGAAAATTTCAGCATCGTAGCTTCAGCGGTTTCGGAGATATTCCCGAAAAACCTGAGGGGTGGATAAAAACAACCCCCCCTGCCACTAATAGGGTTAATAAACAGACAGAGCCGCATCGTTGTATTGCTTTAAATCATTCACTTACATGAGCACTTGAAAATCAACCATGAGCAATCGTGATCGATGCGTAGGTATAAGAGAAGTGCATTGCGCAGAAGTGTGGATTAGACAGATGCCTTTATTAACCCGCGCCCTGGTGGGGGGTGATGGGGGGCATTTTTTGTCCCCCAAACTTTTCGATATATCTCCAAAACCGCTGCGCTGATCGTCACCAAACGGTCAGTACCCTCCCTGGCATCAATTTTACACATTGTGACCAAAACTTTTTCCAAATGCTATGATAAGTTAGCCGCAAATAACGTCAGAGTGACGTCATGTTCTGCCGTTTTCGACCCCAAAAAGGCTTCGCGGGAAGAGCTGTCAGGCCTACCTATAGCCCGCGCCCCACGGGGGGGGGGGGCAGAATCTGCTTCCCCCTCCCGTTTTTCGCCAATAACTTCTAAACGCGTTACGCGAATGACGTCAAACTTTCGGTACCTTATCATACATCAATTTAAGACGTTTTTTTAAATTTGAGGGAAATCAGTCGGAAAATTCATGAGAAATGACGTTTTAGTGACGTTGTGTCCGCCATTTTCGCCTCAAAAACGGCAAAATTTCAAACGCCGCTAACATCTTCATTTTTAAAGGAATCAAGACGTAACGAAAAAGGTTATACGTGATTCTACTTTGTCTATCAACTGGTTATCTCGGTTTTTGAAAATTTTTAACCATTTTTTTTTTCTAAAAAACTGATTTTTTTGGGAAAATAATTATCTTTCAGAATGTGGATCGCTCATGATTGTTCAATAGCAGGGCCTCGTCTAAGGAATTTTCACTGGGGGGGCCAGAGCCTGAAGGAGCCAAACCTAGGGTACCCCCAAATCCTGTTTTCTCACCGGATTTAGACCACTTGTTTTTCATCACAGCCCTGACACCATGATTTTTTTTTTAACTAAAGGAAAAAATAATAGGGCATCCGACCCATGGTGTTGAGTGTTTTTGAGTGGCAGTGCCTTGTCTAAGGAATTCACATGCCGAGCCTTATGTCGGGGGCCCACACGCATAGACTGAGCGCTTGACTCTGAGCTCTGCCGAGTTCTGAGGGCTAACACCAGCTTCTGGACCCACGCCGGCCTCTATGGTAGCCCACACTGGCTTTATATGATCCATACCAGGCTTTAAGGATTAAGCTGAGTGGAGACAGTATTTTCCCACGGCCCCCTCAGACGAGTGTAATGCGTACGTATCAACTTGGAGACTGATGGCTTCTCAGGTGGATTCTCCGTAAGTCGTAATCGCCGTGGATCTCCGACACAACCTTAAGGTTGTCAGAGGCTATAAATTAAACAAAAAATGAAGATTTCCCCGTGTAGTAGTGCAATTTGAGGCCCGTTGGGACCCTACAGGCTGGTATTTGGCTGGCATTTGCCCACCGGGACTCCACGCCGACTTCTTTAGATAATCCAGCGACAGACCACCAATCTGCGCCTATGTACGACCACCACGGGATCCTGCTTCATTACGACTAGGAGCTACTCTAGCCGCACACCGGTGACCGTCCAGCCAGAAGCTGGACGCCGCATAGTGAGGACGACGATAGGCAAAAACAAGAGATTGACGCCCCGAGGACAGAAACAACAGATTGATACGTAAAGGAGAATTTTTATCGGTAGAGCGTTGGACTCCGCGTGGTGAGGGCATGCGTCCCGGTTATAACAGTCCGGGTTCGAAGCGCGACAGAGTCGCTTGATGTTTATGAGCCTCCTGGCGAGTATGGTTACGGTTGGTGGCAGGCCGTAACCAGTCGAAGTCAGTGAGGGGACCGGCCGTGCGCGGCTATGTGCATACGTAAAACTTTGGGCTCTAAATTCTGCCATAGATCAGGAATTGCGCGATCGGAGGGTAGAGGGCAGGGCCAACGCAACAAGATCTGCTTAGCGGGGGCTCTGTCCTTGTGAATCCTTCCATTCAAAAGGTTCGGACTAAATTTATAAAAAAAGAATATCCGAGACACGGAGTTGGGCGCCTGAAAAGACGAAATGTAACGTATTGCTGAGCGAAAAAAAAATGGTTAAGGTCAGGTAAACAAAATAAACACTTGATAACAGG